AGGTAAACTATGACGCATTTATCTAAAAGTGGCCTAAATGCCTCGTTCATGGTCATCTGAAATGTTGCGGGCGCGTTGGTCAGCCCGAAAGGCATCACCGTGTATTCGAATGACCATACCTAGTCCTAAATGCTGTCTTGGCGCAGTCCGATGGTTCGACCCGAATTTGATGGTAACCCCCCCGTAAGTCTATTTTCGAAAATACTCGTGCGGTTCGCAGCTGGTCGATTAGTTCGTCGGCGCGGGGGATGGGGTATCGTGATTTGACTGTTACCCTGTTAAGCGCTCGGTAGTCGATGCACATTCGAAACCCTCCGTCTTTTTTCGGTGTGAACAGTATCGGTGCGGCGAACGGTGACGAGCTCGGTCGGATGAACTGCTTCTCTAACAGGTAATCTAACTGCTTCCTTAGTTCGTCGAGCTCGGGCTGTGTCAGTCGAAATTGGCGCTGTACGGTTGGCTGTGCCCCCGGTTTTAACTCGATCCTATGGTCATGTGCCCGCTGAGGTGGCAGTCCTTGCGGTAAGTCATCCGGGAAGATACCCGGGAACCGTTTCAGTAGTGCCTGTAGTTCGGGCGGTACGGCTGCCAGCAGTTTCTGAAAATCACTCGGCTGCTCCTCTTTTTCAACTAATGCGATATCCACTGCGTATACGTCAGCTCCAGCAGCGACAGCCCGTTTCATCGTGATGGCGTTGACCTAGACCGTCGAAGAATCGGGTGGCTGCCAGCGAGGTAGAACGACCCAGTTACCACCACTTCGCACTGTGCAGCTACCCGTCGTCCAGTCAATTCATGGGTTATACCGTCGCAGCCAATCACGTCCCAATAAAATGTCGTGCCCATCCAGTGTCGTTGCGAGCATTTCCTGTGTAAACCCGAAGTTCCCTCCGCAGCGGACTTTTATGCGCTCCACTTTTTCCCGTATGGCCAGTGGTGTTCCGTCGACTAAGCGTGCGTCTATCTCAGGTAAGCATCGGTTAAGTGTTAACTGTAACTTCCGTGCGGTTGCGGTATTAACTAAGCTGTGACTTGCTCCTCCGTCAATAAAAATCTTCACTGCTGCTCCCTGTATTTTCCCGTAGATCAGTACCGGGCAATCCGTCGCTGTACCCTCCTCATTCATCCGAGCCCGATCGATGGCGTGAATCGGTACTGTGACTCGGTGAGGGTCGGTGTGGTTGGGCGAGCAGGCAGTCTCGTCAGTAGTTGGCCCAACTTCTACTGACTGCTGGCGTTTCCCTGCCTCTGAGACTCCCTCCCCTGCTCTGCTCCGCGGCGCCTCAGCTCCTCTGGGCACTCGCTCTTGCGGTGGCCCGGCCTGTTGCAAGCAAAACAGCGCCCTTTAAACGGTGCGGCAGCTGCATTCGTCGCAACGGCATGTACAGTGGCGTGCTCGATCGGTTCCCGAGGACGATGTCCGTAGTAGGACCCCGGTCTCGGTCGGCGTATGATGTCGATTTTCTCGGCGAGCGCGAGAATCTCGTTGAAGTTCGAGAGTCCGCGCAGCATTATTTCGTGCGAGATATCCGGCTTCAACCCTCCGACGTAACGGTCCACCCGCTCCGCTTCGTGCATGTAGCCGACCTGCTCGCAAAGTGCGAGAAAACCGCTGGTGTAGTCTTGAACTGACCCGAGCTGGCGCCAAGTGCGCAGTTTCTGACGCGCCGAAATCGAGGCCGCGATCGGCTCAAAACGTGCCCGAAGCCCTGCGCACCACGCATCCCACGTGCTGTATTGGGCGGTTTCGCAGAACGAACTCCAGGTGACAGCTGGGCCCGAGGGCCCTTCCTCGTGCGACGGTGGCTCGTAGGCGCGTGGCGACGTCACGATGACTCGCCACCAGTCCATGGCGGGGCCCCTTAGCAGTGAAACCGCATACCGGATTTTTGCGGCGTCCGACTCGACGTAATTGGCGTCGAAGAAAACGTTCATCGTGAAGACCCATGATTGAACTGTCGGACCGCCGCGTTGACTTGGGTCGAAGCAGGGCGGGCGTTGCGGCTTGAGCGGCATTGGTGCCATGTTGGTGTTTTCGCCACTTGTCGCCGCAAATTCCACGTGCCGACGGACTTCTCGAGGCTCCCGTGGGCTTGGTGCGATCCTGTTTCCTCCCATGCCAGGCATCGGCTGGGCGGCGCCCTCACTGGTTGCGCCTGAGCGTTGTCCCGTGCTGTCATGTTGTGTTGGTGTGCCGGACGAGATGACAATCGGCTCATCCGAATGTGCAGATGCGTTTGTTGGTGCGTGGTGTGTTGTCGGTGCGTTCGTCGTAGACTGTTGACGGGCGGAGTCCCGTTCCGCCGTGAGCGTCGCGATTTCGAGTGCCGATTCTTCCAGCTGACGCACAAGACGATCAAGTTGTTCCTGCGTCAATGTGGCGAGTGTGAAATCGGCCATGGCGGGGGTGTCGGGCAAGCTCAGCGAGAGCCTCTGTCGTGGCCGTGCGTGCTTACGAGAGAGCACTACGAGCGGCGGTGCTGTGTCGCTGAGAGACGTCTACCCCCCCCAAAAACTTGAGATAGTGGGGAAGCGAAGGTGTGGATGCGGTCCGAGATGGGATCGTAGGCTCTGAATACCAAGTGTTACGAGTGCAATTGAGTGAACGAACGAGAATTGCACTATCGAAGCAAGAGTACAATGAGCGAAGGCATGAGCGAAGAATATATAGCGAAACTACAGTGGTAACGGTAATGAAGTGTGGTTGTCGCCCGACGAGCCTGGGACTGAGGTTGGGAAATATGTCGAAGCGTAGGCCCGGAGCGCGGGTTACCCGCCGAGCCGTGAGGTCGGGGTGCGATGTGCGAAAATGGCGGGATGAGTGTCGATGCGATGGTCGCGAGTGGTAACGGTGCTGACTGAGGTGCTACAGTGGTGTACGCGATGAGCAGGGATGCGAAGTAAGGAAAAAGGGAATTTTCCTTACACTACCCCCCCCCTTAAGGAGGTCCCGTTTACGAAAGTGCGTGGACATCTTTGAAGTTTCGGCTGCGCAGGTACTCGGTGAGGACGGGGTGGTTTTCAATTCTGTCCAGGGGAACCCAATTGTCCTCGGTGGGTGTACGATCTTTCCAGCGGATCAGAAACTCAACTTTTCGGGCTCCGCGGGGGTCACGAACTCTGTGGCTCAAGATTTTTTCGGGGGTGATGACTGGTTCGGTTGGTGGTCGTGTCATGCTGGATGGCCGATGTCGTGGGAGTTGGCTGGTGGATGGGACGTACGGGCACCCTAAGTGCACTCGTAACATCAGATACTCGATGAATATTCGCAAAACTGGAGGCCTGTTTCTCTGTGTGTGACCAGATTGCGAAAGAACTTGCCTTCGCCTGCGAGGGGACGAGCGCAAGCGAATTTTGCGTTACCATGCATAGTAGACCTTCGCTTCACACCTTTCTGTTCTATGTGTGACCCAAGTTCCTGATCGATTTCCGCAGTGGGTCCGCACCGCACATAGTTGTCTCCTTTCAGACTAATAATCTTGAGTGTGTCATACTAGTAGTACATAACATATCCGGAACGGACGAATGCAGCATTTTTTTTGTCGCGTCGCGACCACTCTTAAAGCCACGCCTTTGTGCTTCAAGTGGGCCCTCGCCTGATGCTTATCGCGTGATTTAGTGCATTGTTCTAACCCGCCATTGCTCTCGCATTCTTCTCAGCTTTATCGAGTCGAGACGGGTGCAATTGCTCGCAGTTTCACTTCGCGAAGTGCCGTAGCTTACTCCCTCCGTCGTGATTTTCCTCTTGCGCATTTTCGTCGTCTTATTTGACCGTTGACATCGGGTCGACGCGCTTCGGCGAGTGGTGGTGACACGCGCAATCGTTTGTAGGGCTTATTCGGCGGCAGGAAAACCTCCTTTGCGATTCCATAGCGACTGTTAGCGAAAGGTGCTCGTGAGCTGTACAGCTGGATACCGCACCGAATTCAAGTTGCCAGCGACGATTTCGACTTACGACGACTTCCCTTCAGTCTGGCGCTCGCGGCGACAAAACGGAATCCGTCAGAAAGATGGTCAGCCTCCGTCGGAGCATCTTCGCAATATGGTAGTGTCCATGCATGAAACAGACGGATTTTTGTCCTAATTGGATTGATCCGATTCGATTGGATTCGATCCGATTTGTTTCATTGACAAACGGCACCGATTGAGCCACATTACGCCATGTTCCCGATGCTTCCAGGAACCTGCACTCTGACACCTACTCTTAATCCAGCCACTCACGCCACGCCACATGTCCTTTCCGCTGCAGAGGCAATCTCAATTAATATCCGTCCTTGTTCCGCCATCTCGGCTCGACCAATCAGAATCAGCCACGCACGGCGTTCTCTCAGCCAGAGTTCTCTCGCCGTCACACCCAGCACCAGCCGTCTAGTTAAACGCCCTGCCGGCAAGGAATGCAGATTCCGACGGTCGCTTTTCGGGAGCGGGGGAGCTCTTCGCTGCAACGGCAGTTCCGCCAATGGCCCGTCCGTCAGGCGTCCGTCAGTCAGCGCCACGTCAGCAGACAGGATCATCCGTCCGTCAGTTATCGCCACGTCAGCTGGCAGGACTATCCACGTCATCACGGCCGCAGCAGCGGCTGCAGCAGTGGTGGCTGGGGGAATCATGGCTGCGCCAGCAGCAGCGGGAACAGCAGGGGCAGGAGTAGGAGCAGCAGCAGCGGGAACAGCGGGGGCAGGGGTAGGAGCAGCAGCCGCGGGAACAGCGGGGGCAGGAGTAGGAGCAGCAGCAGCAGCAGCGGCAGCGGCAGCATCATCATCATCAGCGGTGGGAGCGTTGCTGGCCGCATGTGGCGTGAACACGTCTGTGCTGCGCGCATCCCTGGGAGCCGCGTTTAAGCTCTTCGCCATGTGTGGTGAGCCGCTGCCTATCTCTCGCTCATGCTCACCCCTCATTTGGGCAAGTTCTGAGATTCCTGCTGTGCTGCTAGCGTCTCTGGGAGCCGTGTTCAAGCTGTTCGCCATGTGTGGTGAGTCCATGCGGGCTCTGCCTCATACCTAATGCCTCATGCTCACCCGCATTCGCTGTGCTCGCTCTTGCTTGCTCTCTTCTCCCTTCCCTCTCACACGCCCGCCTCCCCCTCCGCGATGCGATGCGATGCGGTGCGGTGCGGTGCGATGCGATGTGATGTGCTGTGCCTCGTGTTCATCCCCCTTCCCTCCATCGTTATTGCACCCACCCCACCTTCCTACTCCCTCCTTCCCAACTCCTCCTCCATGCTCCCCCCAGCCTCCGTCGTGTGGCTAATGAAGACCAACGTCCTTCCTGAAGGCACCACCACACATGATGTGATCGCACCCACCCATCCCACCTCCCCACCCGCTATCTCCTTCCCTCTTTCCCTCCCTCCATGCTCCCCCCAGCCTTCATCGTGTGGCTAATGAAGGCCAACATTCTTCCTGAAGCCACGCCCTCGGTGCTCAGCCAGGTGGGGTTCAGGTGTTGTCAGGTGGGGTTCAGGTGTTGTCAGGTGGGGTTCAGGTGTTGTCAGGTTGGCTTCAGGTGTTGTCAGGTGGGGTTCAGGTGTTGTTAGGTGGGGTTCAGGTGTTGTCAGGTGGGGTTCAGGTGTTGTCAGGTGGGGTTCAGGTGTTGTCAGGTGGGGTTCAGGTGTTGTCAGGTGGGGTTCAGGTGTTGTCAGGTGGGGTTCAGGTGTTGTCAGGTGGGGTTCAGGTGTTGTCAGGTGGGGTTCGGGTGTTGTCAGGTGGGGTTCAGGTGTTGTCAGGTGGGGTTCAGGTGTTGTCAGGTGGGGTTCAGGTGTTGTCAGGTGGGGTTCAGGTGTTGTCAGGTGGGGTTCAGGTGTTGTCAGGTGGGGTTCAGGTGTCTAATCATCTGTGGTTCAAATGTCCAGTCAGCTGTTGTTGTTCGTATGTCCTTCCCCTCTTGCGCGTTGACGCAAAAGTCCCCGTAAGCTGGACAAAGGTCATGTATTATTGCTCCTCATGGCTCATCAAGCACTCATTTCATGCTTCCTCATGACTCAGAAACTCGTTCCCACCTCATCCCCCCTGTCTATTCCTCAGGTGGCCTTCCAAGCGCTCGTCCCCCGCTTCCTCACGATCAGAGTCGCCTCTACTCTCGCCGTGCCTCATCATGTTTTGACTCTCTATGTCATGTTGCACCCCCCTACCCACCCCTTCCATCCCTCCACATCGCCTTCCATTCCAAGTGCTCATCCCCGCTTCCTCACGCCCAAAGTCGCTTCTTCTCTTGCCTATCCTTCTGTTCACCTTTCCCCCCTTTGCCTTTCCCCCCTTCACCTTTCCCCCCTTCACCTTTCCCCCCTTCACCTTTCCCCCCTTCGCCTTTCCCCCCTTCACCTTTCCCCCCTTCGCCTTTCCCCCCTTCATCTTTCCCCAGGTGGCCTTCCAAGCGCTCATCCCGTGCTTCCTCATGACCAAGGTCGCCTCTACTCTCGCTGTGCAACCACTCACCTCGCTCGCTGCCCTGCCCTTACTTGCTGTAATTCAGGTGTGTTGCACCCCTCTGCACTCCTCTTTACTCCACTCCTCTCCACTCCTCTTTACTCCACTCCTCTCCACTCCTCTTCACTCCACTCCTCTGTATTCCAACCCGCTTTACTCCTGTCCTATCCACTCCTCTTCTCTCCTCTGCTCTCCACCCCTCTCCACTCCACTCGTCTCCATTTCACTCCTCTCCACCCCACTCCACTCCACCTCTGTCTGCCCACCCTCCCTTCTTTCCATGTCCTCTGTGGACTACCTTTAGGCAGGCTAGCCTGCCTACCACCGTCTCTCTTCCCCCTCTTCTCTCGCTTCTGCACTGCTTATGTTCTCCAGTTCGCCTTGTAAACTCCCTCCACCCCGCCCCACCCCACCCCACCCCATCCCATCCTACCCCACCCATCCTCTCCAGGTCCTCTGTGGGGCAGCTTTGGGCAAGCTAGCCTGCACCATTGCCTACCGCCGTCCCTCCTCCCTCACCTCGCTCACTTTCGCACTGCTTCTGTTCTCCAGTTCTCCTTGAAAACTCCTTCACCCACCCCACCCCACCCCACCCCACCCCACCTCACCTCACCCCATCCCCTCGTCTTCCCCAGATCCTCTGTGGAGCAGCGCCAGGCAAGCTAGCCTGCACCATAGCCTACCGCCGTCCCTCCTCGCTCTCCTCCCTCATCTCTGCCGTGCTTTTTAACTCCACTTTTTCTCCAAAACTCACACCCCCTCCTCCCTGCCTCCTTTTCACCTACCCCTTCCACACTGCTCAAATCAGATCCTCTGTGGAGCAGCGCTAGGCAAGCTAGCCTGCACAATCGCCTACCGCCGTCCCTCCTCGCTCTCCTCACTCCCCTCCCCTCCTGCCGCCCGCCACATCGCCTTCTCCGTCGCTCAGAGCCTCGGCCTCTCCCCCTCTGCTGCCGCCCTCCTCTCTGGCCTCCCCCCTCCGAAGCGGGAGGGGGCGGTGGAGGGGAAGGTGGGCGGTGGGAAGGCGGCGCCTGGGCGGGGAGTTTTGTCTTCACCTGGGATGGTTGGGGCGGCGGAGCGGGCGGCGGGGAGGAAGGAGGCAGTGGTGATGTCAGCATGTGCGTTTGGAAACTCGCTCACTCTGCCTCTGGTGTTTCTGGCAACGCTGCTGACTCGCGCTGATGCTGACAGGGCTGCTGGGTACCTTGCACTCTTCATGGTTGGGTGAGAACACCTTTACACCTTGCTGTGTTGGGTACCTTAGCAGTCTACCCATGCTGACAGAGCGCCTGGGTACCTTGTGCTCTTCAAGGTTGGGTGAGCACACTGTTTTTGGTTGGGCCTTAGGGGAGGTAGGAAGGATTCTACTTTTGAGAATTCTCAAAAGTAAAATTCACATGCCTGAGAGGAGGAAGGAGGGTGTTTGAAGTCAGCATGTGTTCGCTCACTCTGCCTGGCTCTCGTGTTTCTGGCAACGCTGCTGTCTCGCGCTCATGCTGACAGGGCTGCTGGTTACCTTGCACTTTTTATGGTTGGGTGAGTGTACTACTGTTACACCTTGCTGTGTTGGGAGCGTTTGGCAACTCGCTCACTCTGCCTCTCGTGTTTCTGACAATGCTGCTGTCTCGCGCTGATGCTGACAGACAGGGCTGCTGGGTACGTCGCACTCTTCATGGTTGGGCGAGTACACTCTATAAAGCTGTGCATCACTACATTGTACCCACACATGCTGACCGGGCTGTTGGGTGCTTGATGCTGTTCATGCTGGGGTGAGTATCTGTGCTGGGATGACTTTTGAGTCGACTCAAAAGTCATCTCATTGTACCCACACATGCTGACAGGGCTGTTGGGTGCTTGATGCTGTTCATGCTGGGGTGAGTATCTGTGCTGGGCATGTTAGAACCTTTCCAATTGGTCACCCACCTTCTGGACCCTGGGTTACGGCATGTTCACCACAGTTAACCGCTCCGAACCCCTGTGTTCACCGTATACCCCTCACTCTTCCCTCCCTCTTCCAGCTGGTCCCCCACCTTCTGGAATCCGGGCTACAGCATGCTCACACGACATCGCCTTTGCTTCCCACCGACCCACTCACAGGGGGCGGTGCTGCTGCTGCTGCCACTCCTTGTCCCACCCCCCTCCCTCCCCATTCTAGCTGGTCACCCACCTTCTGGGTTTTGAGAATTCTCAGAAACCAGCTTGCCGTTGCCGTGGCCGTTGCCGTTGCCGTTGCCGTTGCCGTTGCCATTGCCGTTCTGGTCTGGACCCTGGGCTACAACATGGTGTCAGGGGGGAGAAGAAGCAGGTAGAGGGCGAGAGGAGGGGGGGGGGAAATGATGGCACACCATCTATTCTTTTGAGGCGCCTCAAAAGGATGGGGGGGAAATGATGGCACACCATCTATTCTTTTGAGGCGCCTCAAAAGGATGGGGGGGAAATGATGGCACACCATCTATTCTTTTGAGGCGCCTCAAAAGGATGGGGGGGAAATGATGGCACACCATCTATTCTTTTGAGGCGCCTCAAAAGGATGGGGGGGAAATGATGGCACACCATCTATTCTTTTGAGGCGCCTCAAAAGGATGGGGGGGAAATGATGGCACACCATCTATTCTTTTGAGGCGCCTCAAAAGGATGGGGGGGAAATGATGGCACACCATCTATTCTTTTGAGGCGCCTCAAAAGGATGGGGGGGAAATGATGGCACACCATCTATTCTTTTGAGGCGCCTCAAAAGGATGGGGGGGAAATGATGGCACACCATCTATTCTCCTCTCCCACTCCCCTCCCCCACCCTTCCACCTGCTTCCCCACGTTCCCCCACCATTGCCGTTCTGGACTCTGGGCTACAACATGCTAACATGCCTTTGCCCCCTCTCTGTCTTCCCCCTTTTCGGTCTTACCCCCTCTCCGTCTTCCCCCCCTCTCCGTCTTACCCCCTCTCCGTCTTCCCCCCCTCTCCGTCTTACCCCCTCTCCGTCTTACCCCCTCTCCGTCTTACCCCCTCTCCGTCTCCCCTCCATTTTCCCATTGCTTGCATCTTTCCACAGCTGGTCCCCCACCTTCTGGACTCTGGGCTACAGCATGTTCACAGGGGGGGATAACAAGCAGGAGGAGGGTGAGCGGGCGGGGGAAGAGTGATGGCACACCATATATTCCCCTCTTCCCATTCGCTTCCCTCCCTCCCCTTTCCAGCTGGTCCCCCACCTTCTGGACTCTGGGTTACAGCATGTTCACACACCACCGCTGTTTCTCCCCCTCCTTCCCCTCTTTCTCCCCCTCCTTCCCCTCTTTCTCCCCCTCCTTCCCCTCTTTCTCCCCCTCCTTCCCCTCTTTTTCCCCCTCCTTCCCCTCTTTTTCCCCTCCTCCCTCTTCCAGCTGGTCGCCCACCTTCTGGACCCTGGGCTACGGCATGTTCACAGGGGGGGATAACAAGCAGGAGGAGGGTGAGCGGGCGGGTGAAGAGGCGAGTGCAGCAGCAGCAGCAGCAGCAGAAGCAGCAGTGATGGGAGTGACAGGGTTTGAACGTGCTGTCAGCCGTGTGATGGCGGTGGTTCAGAAAGTGCTCAATCCACCTATTTATGGGGTGAGTTTCTAAAAATGGAAGCGATGGGAGTGACAAGGTTTGAGCGTGCTGTCAGCCGTGTGATGGCGGTGGTTCAGAAAGTGCTCAACCCGCCTATTTATGGGGTGCGTTTCTATTTATGGGGTGGCTTCCTATTTATGGGATGAGTTCCTATTTGTGATGTGGGTTCTTAGTTATGCAGTGGGTTCTGTGTTGATCCTCCCAAGGGTCTTTCGGACCAAGTGCCCATGTGTCTGTCTAATCGAACCAATCATCCCTCATTCCCTAATGTGTGTCTGCCCTCGTTCCCAGGGCAGGGCACACATATCTGCTTCAATAGGAGCTGACTTTCGAGTCGACTCAAAAGTGGGCTGACTTTCGAGTCGACTCAAAAGTGGGCTGACTTTCGAGTCGACTCAAAAGTGGGCTGTCTTTTGAGTCGACTCAAAAGTGGGCTGTCTTTTGAGTCGACTCAAAAGTTCCCAGGGCACACATATCTGCTTCAATAGGAGCTAGTGAAACCAATGAGGCTCTCTCCTCCCACTCCCCCCTCTCCTCTCATCGCCCCATCAGGTGCTAGCAGGTCTGCTAATAGGAGCCACCCCTCTTTCTCACTTCTTCCTCCCCGCCTCCTCCTCCTCTGCTGCTGCTGCCGCCTCCCTCCCAGCCTCCGCCTCACCATGGCTCTTCAGCCCTGCCACTGCCGGCATTCTGCATGGCATCATGGAGGTGAGCTTTGGGGTGGGTGGGGTAGGCAAGGCATGCGGCATGCGATGCCCGCATTGGCAGGTCCTGTGGCTCTTCAACCCTGCCACTGCTGGCATCCTGCACGGCCTCATGGAGGTGAGCGATGGAAGGAGGAGAGGCATGTGGCATGTTGACGAACCACTCTCAGTCCTGCCACTGTTAGCATGGCTCTTCAACCCTGCCACTGCTGGCATCCTGCACGGCCTCATGGAGGTGAGCGATGGAAGGAGGAGAGGCATGTGGCATGTTGACGAACCACTCTCAGTCCTGCCACTGCTCAGCATGGCTCTTCAACCCTGCCACTGCTGGCATCCTGCACGGCATCATGGAGGTGGTGGGGGCAGGCGAGGCAAGGCAAGGCATGCGGGTTGGAGGTGAGAAGGGCAGGAGAGTCGAGGCAAGGCATGCGTCATGTTTATTAACCACTCTCAGTCCTGCCACTGCTGGCATTCTGCATGGCGTCATGGAGGTGAGCTCTGAGGTGGGTGGGGTAGGCAAGGCATGCATCATACGGCATAGAGGTGAGCTTTAAGACGTCTCAAAGGTCATGCAGGCGACAGGTGCTCAAATGCCAATGGAATTCTGCAAGGCAAATCCATTTAACCATGTCCAAAACAAGTGATAGCATTGTCTCCTGTTTGTCAAACGGGTGGGGTGTTCTCGAGAACCACTCTTCGCCAGATGGCATGCCTCGCCACTCAACCCCCTTGATGAGTCGGTTTTTGAGTCGCCAGATGGCATGCCTCTCGAGTCCACTCATCACACGCGGGTTCTCAAGAACCACTCTTCGCGAGATGGCATGCCTCGCCACTCAACCACCTTCCTCCCTCCCTCCTGCCACCGCCCAGGCAGCAGCTATTCTTGGGTCAGCCTGTGTGGCCGTGCAAGCAGTCGTGCTTGCGTCCTCTCTCGCCTCCTCCATCCCCTCCCGCATCTCCCTCTCCTGGCCCAAACCCTCCTCCTCCCCTTCCTCCACTCCCTCCCCCTCTCCATCCTCCTCCTCACCATCTCATCCCTCCTCTCCCACCTCTGCTGCTACAGCAGCATCTGTGTCAGCAGCAATCGAACAGCTGCTGCCACCAGCAGCCAACACCCAAGTCACGTCGCTAGCGACAATCCCAACACCAGGTGCGTTATGTGCTTCCCCTTCCTCCTCTCCTTCCTCTTCTTCACCCTACCTCTGCTGAAGCAGCGGCTGTGACAGCAGCAATTGAACTGCTACCACCACCACCAGCAGCCAACACCCAAGTCACGGCGCTAGCGACAATCCCAACACCAGGTGCGTTATGTGCTTCCCTTTCCTCCTCTTCTCCTCCTCTGCTACAGCAGCCGCCGTGACAGCAGCAATTGAACAGATGCTACCACCAGCACCAGCAGCCATCACCCAAGTCACCACTCTGATGCCCATGCCTGTGCAAGGTGTGTTAAGGTGTGCATGCCTGCTGTAGCGTCTACTGCACCAGCAGCAAACATATGTATATACACTACATTCTATAACATATCTCTGTATGTATGTATGCACTCTAAACACTCCCGCCCCTCCGCCCCACCGTTTTCCCCCAGGCAGCACTCCCTCATCTCTCGTGCTGTTCAATCCGAACCAACTCCCGGCCCTCTCAGGCCTGGGCATGAGAGAAATAAGGGTGGAATCTCGCTCCTCCGTCACTTTACCTGGTGTTGGTGCTGCTGCTGCGGGTGGAATTGGAGGAGGTGGGGGTGGGGGTGGTGGAAACGGTAGCATGGAATTGCAAGCAACAGGCAGGAGCGCTTCATCTGCTTCTCCCTCCTCCTCTGCTGCGCTGCCCTCCTTGCTGGATGATAGGGCGCTCTGGGTGGTGTGTGCTGTGCGCCTGCTGCTGCTGCCCATGCTTGGGACCATTGGAATCATGGTGAGAGAGGCATGCCGCCCATGCCATGCTGAAGCATGCCGCCATGCCATGCTGAGGCATACACCCATGCCATACAGAGGCATGAAGCCCATAGCCCTTAAAATAGAGGAGAGGGGAGGTCTCTTCCATGCCCATGCTCGGGACCCTCTCACTTACACCGTCTCCCCTCCCATTCCTCGTCTCCATCTCTTTTCTTCGCTTCCCATGGTTGGCACCATGGCAATCATGGTGAGGCGTTGGCCTCTTCCTCTCTCTCGCTCTCTTCCACCTCCCCTCTTTCCGTCCTCTCGTCTTCCTCCCTCTCTCTTCCGCCTTCCCCTTTCGCCTTCCCTCGTCCGCCCTCCCCTTTCCGCCCTACCCTTTCCGACCTCCCCTTTCTGCCCTCCCGTTTCGCCCTCTCCTTGCTTCTCAGGTGCTGTACAAAGCCGGGCTGATTCCACAAGACCCCATCTGTGCCTTTTGAGTCGATTCAAACGTCGTCACCCCCTATTCGCCCTCCCCTTTCCCCCCTCCCCTTTGCTTCTCAGGCGCTGTACAACGCCAGGCTGATTCCCCAAGACCCCATCTGTGCTCTCACCCTCATGGTCAGTGCTTCCCCCCCCTCTTTCCCTTCCCTCGACCACCACAAAGCCCTGTTTTTGCTATCACCCTCATGGTCAGTGTAGCGCTTCCTTCCTTTTGAAACGTGGCTTTTCCTATCTACACGTGGCTTTTGCTATCACCCTCATGGTCAGTGTAGCGCTTCCTTCCCCGCCCTTTCGCCTTCTCGCCTAGTACTGCTCTCATCTCCTTGTCATCTCCTATCATGGCGATATATATTAATTCTGTCTCTGTGTATTCTCCTCCCATGTGCTGTTATTAGTAAACAGGTGGGCTGCGGAGGTCTGACGTCCATCAATTTGGATGTGTATTCTCCTCTCCTCCCATGTGTGAGCCCCTTGGATCCAAACAGACTTTTGAGACGTCTCAACAGTCCTCTCATGTGTGAGCCCCTTGGATCCAAACAGCATCGAATCTCATTTACGTGTCTCTCCTCTCCTCGTCTCTCCTCCACTCTCCTCCTTTCCCCTCTCCCATCAGATCCAAACCGCCATGCCATCGGCACAGAATCGATTTTTGAGGCGGCTCAAAAGCCATCGGTACAGAATCTCGTGCTCATGGCGCAATTCATTTTCTACCTTAAATCAGAAACCCTACACCCTTTTCTCCCCTCTCCTCTCCCCCCTCTCCCCATCAGATCCAAACCGCCATGCCGTCAGCACAGAATCTCGTGCTCATGTCGCAGCTCAGCCCCGCCACCAAGCCTCTGGCGGGAATGCTGGCCTCGCTCATGCTGCGACAGGTGGGTGTGTGGGGTGTGTGTACATTTTTTTTGGCAAACGATGTCTCTGTGTACATGCCACGGCCCAACCCAATAGCAATACCCAAGCCTCCCCCTCTCTTGCATCTTTCCCCTCCTTCCCCTGCAGTACGCCATTACCATGCTCCCTATCACAGTGTGAATCACAGTCTTCCTACAGCAATCCACAAGCCTTATTAACATACTCCCATCTCCCTCGCTTTCAACCCTCTCCCTCTCTTGCATCCCTCCCCTATCCTCCGTCCCCTTGCAGTACGCCATATCCATGCTTCCAATCACAGTGTGGATCACAGTCTTCCTACTGCAACCCACATGCTGTTCAACCCCACCCTCCCCCCATGCCTCCCTCTCCCCCGCTACACCTCCCCTCCGTCCCCTGCAGTACGCCATATCCATGCTCCCAATCACAGTGTGGATCACAGTCTTCCTCTCACGCCTCAACATGGCCATATGAAAGCGGCAGCATAACCGCCTCAAGGCACGAGGGCAGGCACGAGCACTTCTCAGGTGTCTGCCTCCACACGTGTCTTCCTCTCACACCTGCACATCACTACTTTGAGACGTCTCAAGGTCACTATTGAGTCGACTCCAAAGTCACAAGCACTTCTCAGGTGTCTGCCTCCACGCGTGTCTTCCTCTCATACCTGCACATCAGTACCACCTTGAGACGTCTCAAGGTAGACGGGGTGACTCTCAAGCCGTCTGGGTTGCACAAGGAGGTTCTTTCGCGTGTGATGAGGCGATTTTCGAGTCGACTCAAAAATCGCCTCCCAAGCCGTCTGGGTAGCACAAGGAGGTTCTTTCTTTCTCTGTTGCCTCAACATGACCAAACGAAGGCGTCAGCATACCCAACTGGGGACAAGAGAGCACGAGCGTTCTTCGAGAGCTTCAAAATCAAAAGCCGCCTCCGCTCACGCTTCAACATGGCCATCTGGAGACGCGGCACGTCAACACTTGATGGAGGAGCGTTCTTTATGTGAGAGTGACACAACAGCATACACGTGTACATGATGCGCTTTCCATGCCTCAGCTTCGTTGTTCGAAGCATACTGGTTACGTGTAGCTTCAAATAAGATAGTTAGCTGTTCAGAGTGTAAAAATAAGCAGGAAATCTCATTACACTTCCATAGCTCCTCTAGTCGCACAACCTTAGCAGAGAACACACTACCAGACCAGACCACAATACCATGTTGCTCTCTGCAGCAGCAGCGACCGGAGAAGAACTGGAAGCGGAAGCAGAACCTGAAATTCTGAAGGACACTCAATAGCAGCCATTCAGCAACACCTTAGTCAATAACAAATCCTTGGATGTCTCAACTTTACGACATATCCTCTTAACATCATTCACTTAGTATATTATGTATATTATAGACATAAGCGAATAGGTATACACTAGCTTAGATTTTGCAAACTCGCACCCGCTGACTGCAATTTCAACTGCAATCCTCATGTGTTTTCTGCTGTGCGCTGACCCAGCCAGACACAGCTCCAAACCAGTCGAAGAATTTCAACACCAGGCCCTTCCTCACCAGACCAGTCACAGTACCGAGCCGCTAAGCTCTCACCGCCAAGCCCCAAACCAAACAATACGAGCCAAACCAGACAAAGGGAACACAACCATACCATACCATACCAGACATCATGTCTCTCACGATTCGCGACTGGCTCCACCAAGTTGTTGACGAGTCTCCTCGCGTCTCGGGAATTATATTTCGTCAGTCAACGCCCGATCGACTCGAGGATGGATTGTGAGAAAGCTGTTGCCTATAAGTTGCTCCCTCAGTTCAACCTCTTGCCATCTCAAACTTTCTGCTCTGCTTTCTCCCATCCATCCAACGTCTATCGATCTCGCCTCAATACCAATTCACTTCACGATTCCGAAAGCCATGGCAGCCAGGGGATATATTTTCGTATGCATTGCGCTCCTCCTTGCGACTTCCGCGGCCGCGCAGCGTGGACCGCCTGGCGGAGGCCCTCCCGGAGGCCAGCAGTCCGGAGGGGCGCGCGGAGGACCTGGCGGACCCGGGTCTGGCGGGCCTGGCGGGCCTGGTGGGCCTGCTGGTCCGCGCGGTCCTCCGTTCAACTTGACGGTCGTCGGAAATCTGACGGCGGACGTCGGCGCGCGATTGGCCAATTGCTCCGCAGACGAAACCTTTCTCGACGGCCGCTTTCACCTCGCCATCTTTAAGTGAGCTTCGATGTTACCGTAACCCTAACTTTCGCGGGCCTCCTTTCGTCGGATTTTCTCGTTCATTTAGCTTCAGCGTCGCAAATTCTTCTCCTCTTGGTTGCAGATATTACAATTTCGATGCGCTTCGTGAAACTGATTCGTTCTTCTGTTCCCTTCCCCCTCCGCCAGGAACGCGAGCGGCAACTACAACCTGGCGGTCGACGCGCTGCTCGTGGGCGCCACGGGTGGGCCGCCCGACTCCCTCGCGATCGTGAAGGGCGCCGTCTGCGACTCTTCCGCCTCCGCCGCCGCGATCCTCGCGATTCCGCTGGCGGAGTCCGACTGGCAGCAGCGCGAAGGCTGGTGGCTGCTGCACGCGGAGGCGCGGCTCGACGCGTTTCTCGAGAACGCGGACGCCGCCACCGTCGAAGCGCTCCTCGCGCTCCTCCCTAACGCGACGCTCCCGGCGGCGCGCGGCGGCGGCGGACGTGGAGGGAGCTCGGGCGGCACGCGGAGCGGGCAGGGCAGCAGGCGCATGGGGAGGGAGCTGCTGATGCGCGCAGCGGGGCGCGTCACCGGCGCCAGGCAGGGGGGGCAGCAGCAGGGGGCGCCACGGCAGCCGCCTGCAGGTGGTTCCTCAGGTGGATACCCAGGCGCTGGGGGCGCGGGGGGGATGATGGGGGGTGGCGGGGTGAACGCGACTGTGAGTGGGTATGCCGTGCTGGCCACTGCCACTGCGGGGGGTGTGGCGTGGGGCGGCCAGCTCATGGGCGTCAAACTGCCCTCCGCCGCTGCCTGATGTGATGGCGGTGCTGCTGGCGGCTTTGCGCTGCCACTTGGGGGGGGGGGGGGGAGGGAGGGGGAGAGGGGGGGAGGGGGGGGGGAGGGGGGGGTGTGGCGTGGGGCAGCCAGCTCATGGGCGTCAAACTGCCCTCCGCCGCTGCCTGATGCGTTGCTGCTGCCGTCGCTGCTGCTGCTGCTGCTGCTGCCGTCGCTGCTGCTGCCGTTGCCGCTGCTGCTGCCGTCGCTGCTGCTGCCGTTGCCGCTGCTGCTGCCGTCCCTGCCGCCGCTGCTGCTGCCGTCCCCGCCGCCGCTGCTGCCACGGCTGTTGCTGCTGATGGTGGCGGTGTTCCATTGTGGTTCCGTTCCTTGCTGGGGATGGAGTAGCAGATCCCAATTCAGGGTTCTTTTAGCTTGGAGTTTTGTTATGGGGTGTTTTTGTTAGGAATGAGCATCAGGGGCAGGAATGCTGGCAAGACACCAGGCTAGATTTCACCAGCTGACTTGCCAGTCTTCCTGCCGTTGCCTTTGCTTACCGTATTATATCTGCGTAATGTAATATTGCTTTGAACATGTTCTTTCAGGAGTAACCGTGTGGTGTGTTTGTATTAGGAGGAATGAGCATCCAAGGCAGGAATGCTGGGAAGGTACTGGGTTTGTTTCCACCAGCTGACATGCCAATCTTCCTGCCTTTGCCTTTGCTCATTGTCCACAGATTTACCTTCTCCTTTTAAAGATGCTCATGTGTTCAGATCATGTGTTCAGTAGTCTACACTGTTTAGCACTGTACACATTCGCACAATGCTGAAATCTGTGAGCCTGGTTCTACCCAATGCTGATTAAGAATCTCGTCAATACCATGCGCTTCACACACCAAGGGATGCGAAGGTAATATGTAGCTATTTTACTACCAATGTTCCATCTTGAAAATAATATAATATGAATAATCATCTCCCTTTTTTCTCATCTTGTAAACTGTGTACGAGAGGCCTCTTTTGTGATGCTTGCTCACAGGAGTGTACCCCGAGGCTGGATGTTTCGTGATTCTCCATCATGTTTGCACTTCTCGTGTCTTCATATGGCCATGTTGAGTCGCGAGAGGAAGACCGTGATCCACACTGTGATTGGGAGCATGGCAATGGCGTACTGCAGGGGATGGAGGGGAGGGATGCAAGAGAGGGGAGGGGGGGGGGGGGGGGGGGGGTGGATTTTGATATAGCATGTGGGTTGCCCTGGGAAGACCGTGATCCACACTGTGATTGGGAGCATGGCAATGGCGTACTGCAGGGGGAAGGGTTGCAAGAGAGGGGGAGAGGGAGGGGAGGTGGGGAGTTTTGCAAGAGAGGAGGAGAGGGAGGGGAGATGGGGGGTTTTGCAAGAGAGGGGGAGAGGTGGAAGTTAGGTGGAGGAGACTGTGATTCACACTGTGATGGGGAGCATAGCAATGGCATACTGCAGGGGAAGGAGGGGAGAGGTAGTGGGGGAGTAGAGGTTTGGGAGGCTTGAGAGTTGCAGTAGGAAGACTGTGATCCACACTGTGATTACAGTGGAAATGGCAATGGCACACTGCAGGGGAAGGAGGGGAGGGATGCAAAAGAGGGGGAGAGGTGGAAGTTAGGTGGAGGAGATTGTGATCCACACTGTGATGGGGAGCATGGAAATGGCGTACTGCAGGGGACATGTGGATGGGGTGGATGGGGAGGATAGAGAGAGGGGGAGGGGGAGGGATGGGGGTTTGAAAGGCACGTGGGTTGCTGTAGGAAGACTGTGATTCACACTGTGATTGGGAGCATGGATATCACATCCTGCTGGGGAAGGAGGGCGGGGGAGATGGGGAGGATAGTGGGGGGGAGGGAGAGTAGAGGTTTGGGAGGCATGAGAGATGCCGTAGGGAGACCGTGATCCACACTGTGATTGGGAGCATGGCAATGGCGTACTGCAGGGTACGGAGGGGAGGGTTGCAAGAGAGGGCAGGGGTGGAATGGAAGCTAATGAGGCATGTGGATTGCACAGGGAGACTGTGGATCCACACTGTGATTGGGAGCATGGCAATGGCTTTTGAGGTGCCTCAAAAGTCATGGCAATGGCATACTGCAGGGGACGGAGGGGAGGGTTGCAAGAGAGCCCACCGTTCCACCACCCACCTGTCGCAGCATCAGGGACGCCAGCATTCCTGCTAGAGGCTTGGTGGCTGGGCTGAGCTGCGCCATGAGCACCCATTCACACAAAGCCCACCATCCCATATCCCCCATCGCCATCCCCCCTCCTCGTTCCTCACACGCACACCCATCTGTGGAAGCATCAGGGAGGCCAGCATTCCTGCCCGAGGCTTGGTGGCCGGGCTGAGCTGCGCCATGAGTGAGCACACAAACAAACATACAGCCCAGCCGTCCCCCCTTTTTCACCCACCTGTCGCAGCATGAGCGAGGCCAGCATCCCTGCTAGAGGCTTGGTGGCGGGGCTGAGCTGCGCCATGAGTGAGAACACAAACAAACATACAGCCC